CACCAATTGACGTTTACCTAAATTATTTAGACACCTCATCTTGTTCTGGTCACAACATGGCTCTCAAAGAGATTGAAGACAGGAGATGGGAAGCTGGACTACCCCTCCCCCACAGCTTTCCCATTACACTTAGGTCCATTAAGACCAAGATCCTCAATGATTTCCTCTTCTTGGCCTATAATGAAGTCAAATTGACTCTGATTGTCATCAATAATTAATGAGTCCGACGGTTCTCAGCCTTTCCAGGCCATTTGGCAGATGGCATCGTCGATTTACTATTGTGCTTGCCATTCTGGAAGCTTCTCAAAGTGGTTTATGTTGTGAAATCTAGTTACAAAAGGCTTTGCACTTTGGGTGATCTCTGGGTTTTGACATTCTCTGTGACGTTTTCATCCTGTGACTAATGAAGAGGAATAGGTAACTTCTGTTGCCAGCTCTGCTGCAAGGCAAGTACAACAACACAACAACAACAACAACAGCAACAACAACAACACAAATCTGTGCATTTACAGCCGAAGAGAAAATAAGTTGGTAAAGATAAGTGGCACTTTGGGAAGGCACCAAGCACTCAGTGACCCAATATCAAAAAGAAAGATTTGTTCTTAAGGTTGACACCTGTCTAAGGAACATTATTTGGGCAAACTTTGAAATTTTATAAGCTTAAAATAAATTCCGTTTTTGGAGTTCAGGTTAAGATAAATGGCTCAAGAATTATCGAGGGCAGATCAAATCCAGGTAAATTTTTGAATCAAAAAATATCAAAATAGCACATGAGTGACGTGTCTGTCTGTTTCTGTGTGTATGTGTGTGTGTGTGTGCATACACATATATGTCTCTCTGTGTATGCACATTTGGGTATGGTTTGTACTTGATTTTGTGTGTATATTTCTATGTATATGTGTACACTCCCTCTGTGTGTATGTATGCATTTCCTCAGGGAAGATCTTCATCACATCTTTTATCATCAGGAAAGGCATACTAGGGCTGGGAGTCTATGTAACTTATTAAATTGAATATGAGAGGAAGTGGGGGTACGGTAAGGTGCTCAATGGAATTCACCAAGCATGCATTTATATGAAACAAAAGTCTTATCCTACACACAAGGAATTTTAAGGATAAATCCTAGGTCCATATAACAAACCAATGCTACCTTCCCTAAGCTGTTTAGAAAAATACCAAAGAATATTACCTAAAAGTTTTTTTGTTTGTAGCTATTATAGTTCAAAACATGAGCTAAAACTGCTCCTTAAAATTATGCACATTTTTTTATTGAAATGCTTAAAAATATCTTTCAGGGACAGAGGTTTTTTTTTTTTTTTTTTTAATGCAGGTCTAGGAATGTCATTTCTGCGTACAGATCCCATCTCTGAGGAACAGGGTAAATCCTAATGTCTCAGATATTTCTCCTTATGCCCAGAGCTCTTGCTTAACTTTGCCAATAGTCGGCTTCCCACAAAGAGGTTGAATTAAATCGCAAGTCCTGACTTTGTAAGAGACCTCCTTTATGACTATGTTTTTATACTGCAGTGGCTTCTGGTGCAGTTCAGAATGTCTGCAAGGTTTGTCATGCTTAACCTTTCATTTTAGGGGGATATCTTTGTTTGCTTCTGCTGAAGCAAGGCCCCTTGCTGTACCTCTTTTAATACAGTTGCACTCCCAGAGAAGCAGACAGCAGCCCTCTTCAACACAGAATGGGGCCAAGAAGGCTTGTTTGCTGAGACTACCAGCTTCAAGTCCATAAAAATCTACAAGCAAGTGTAAGTGAGCTATGTTGATTCTTTCCATAGTTGAGAACTTGGTAGTGAATGATTGTGTCTGGGTAGAAGGTGTGTCTTTCAGAAGAGCCGTGAGCACATCAAAGGATGTGCTGTGCACAGAAAACATTTCAGGGATTCCCATCCTTGTTCATGACCAGGTATCTTGTTCCAGCCAGAATACACACACACACACACACACACACACACACATATATATATATCCTGATATATATATCTTCTGATATATATTCATTTATCTTCTGATATATATTTATATATCTACTGATATATATTCATATATCTTTTGGTATATATATCTTCTGATATATATATGTGTGTATGTGTATATATACATATCATCATATATTCATATTTCACATAACTCCCATCAGGGCCTTGATATGCTAAGTTTATCAATTGCATACTGGTAGAAACAATTGACTGAACCTCCCTCAGGGGTTACCAAGCATGACTCCTTCAAGGGCATGCAGAAGTTCATTGCCTATAGATTGTAGCTGTTAGGTGACTGAGTTAGGACATCACGTGAGTTATGATTGTGGCCACCTCCTTCTTCTGTCTTCTGCAGCATGGACACTAACATGAAATTCCAGATCAAACTGTCTATATGGAGTGATAATGTTGTCAGTAAGCTGAGAGAATGAAGGCATTATGATTTAGGCATGCTATCCTAGGGATGAAATAAATCACATGCTCATGGGTCCTCTATAGGTTTTCAGTCCCTACATTTATTTATCTTCTTGAGAGCACAGCACAATCCATAAAGTAAAACTTGAAAAACAAGCATATAGCTTTTCTTAGTCATTGTTCAAAATTGCTTTTTATGTTTTCTTTAATTGTGAATATATTACTTAATGTTAAAACTCCTAAAAGACCAGAATATTAAAATCAATCATAACCTTAAAGTCTAGAAATAATGAATATCAATGTTTTGGAGTAATAGTATTTAGTTATTAGTATTAGTAGTATGTACATTTATAACACAAATAATTGGATTCAAACTGTAAAGACAATTTAGTGTCTTCTATCTGTGAAGGCAATAATATAACAAGAACATTTTGTCAGGTTATTCTAACTTATTAGCAAAATCATTGTTAAGGGCTGCACGGGAGGGGATTTATTATAGGACAGAAGCGTTTGTTATTTAGTCCTAATAATCTTGAGAGGTAGAAAAAGTGGCTATTGTTTGAATGAAATAGGTAGTTCCAGAGTGTGTGAGAAGTGTGGGGAGCAGATGAAGTCACGAGTGAATGTATATTGCTGACATGGGCACAGTCATGTTAAGGACCCCAATACCTTAGACCCATGGGAACAGCAATGCCTCTCCTTGGGTCAGGCTCAGGGGGATTTGGTCCAATGATTGACCAGTATATGCATAAAGTAGCATCCCAAGCTTCCTCCCCTTGAGTGACTGTAACTGAAAACTGCTCTCCTACAGAGATCTCCCACAGAGACTCGCTAACCCCTTCTCTTTGTGCTGCTGTGCACAGGAAATGCACCAAGTTTGGAGTTTTGGGGTTTTGTAGTTGGTGCCCTGCATCAATGCAAGCTCAACCCATGAATCTCAGTTTTTTTGTATGTGTGTCTGTTATTTCTTCATTCCCACATCACCCCAGTCAGATTTCCAGGACCAAGCCACGAAGGATGTGGCAGAGGACAGAAATTAACTAAATATATTAGCTGTCTACCCCATGCACGGCCATCTGTTGATTCTGGGTCAGTCAGGAAACACTCCTCAAAAGAGAGTTCAGAAGTGATAATGGTGGCTCAAAGTCACCCCTCATTCATTTCATCTTCACAGCTGTTGTAAGTAGGTGCCATTTTGATGTCCACTTTATAGATAAGAGTTTAAGCATCTGTGTGTAATTAGCTATTTAAGTCACTCAGTGACAGGTGTTTTTTTTTTTTCTCTCCCAGCCCAGTGTTTTCCTGTACATCCTCCTGTCTCAGAATCCACGGGCCTCACTCTCCTGGTATTCCCTGCATGGGGAATTGATTTGTAATTTTTCTGCTTGCTTTTCAATTTTGGCTGCCTCTGGCTACTGGGTTGCATTGAGGGGAAATGGCTGTCTCCCATTTCCTTTGGTCTTCATTTACACCATCCTCCCTGTGTTCTCAGTTCCTGGTTGCTCCTTACAAAGGTTCACAGCACCAAGGAATGGTAGGAGGGGACAGAGAATGATGGCTGTGAAGGGAAATGGCTCAGAAGAGCAAGGGTGATGATAGAGGGGCAGGATGATAGAAGGAGGAAAATGAGAATTGGGGGTGGGAGAAGCTGGGCAGCCAAATAGAGGAAATAAAAACACTAAGAAAAAGACCGATGTGGGGGTGGAGAGGTGGCTGGCAAAGAGAGATAATGAGAAAGAGGAAGAGGCTGCTTTGAGCTACCTCAGCATTCTGAGCCGTGGGTTATTTTGTTGTTATATTTTAATGGGCTTTGGCTCTTTTTCCTTCTCTCTCATTGCATTAGTGGCACCATTCAGATGAGAGAGGGGGAAAAAAAAGAAAATGGTAATAGTCAATTTAGGGAGAAAAGAAACCACACACACACAGAGAAAAATTACCAGACGCTAGCACAAAGATGCAAACACTCACCTTTTCATGTGGGCCTCTCTGCCAGCTGGACCAGAGGTGAGACCCAAGTCTCCTTAAAGATCAGGTTCAGTGTAGCAGGAGATGGGAACCTAATTGCAAAGTCTAGGGAAGGAGCAGAAGTGAGGAGGCAGAGGCCAAGGAAGACATAAAACATCCTTTTAGATTGAAGAAGCCAGTTACAGCTGGCTAAAAACATCTACCAGCCTTCAGCTTTCCATAAGAAGAGCCGCTGTGGGTTAGAGCAAGTGGGAGAGGAGCCGGGAAGGCAGAATGCCACTTACTAACTAGCCCAGGGTGGTTTTACCATTGGAATTTTGGGTGGTAGTCACCACTTTCTCCATCTTGCTGTCTCTGCTGTTAATGTTGCCATCATCTTTTTGTCTCCCCTGAAGGACACTTTCATTAACTGCTAAGCAATCTGATGCATCTCTCAAGATGCCTTGTATCTGTGAGAGGTCAGAATCCAACCACCAAAACCACACACACACACACACACACACACACACACACACACACACACAAAATGAACATTTTGAAGGATGCCCAGGCCCAAGAGAGTAATGTGCTCTGCTTTATGTTAAAGTGTAGCTCTCTGCAAATAAATCAACAGAGAGTAAAGCAGAACCATCAGCTTTATTTTTAGATGTAATAGTTTATGGACACATAATGTTATTAATCTTATTGTTATAATCTGCCATTAATGTATGCATGATGATAATGATGATGCTAAGTTGTATGTCTCAGTTCTCTGACTGTGCCAGAGACTCTCCTATATATTCTCTGACTGTGCCAGAGACTCTCCAGACAATATTCTATTTATTTTTCACAATTGTCCTATGAGTTATATGCTCTAGGTGCCATTGTTTCAAGAGTGCCTCAGTGAAGTCTTAGAAATGGCAACGACCCAGTTTCTAGGTAATACTGGAAACCATTAGTGACAAGATCTAAAGCATGTTAAAGGGCAGCTTGGTATGATGTGCAGTGTGGTGGTCAGGGACAGAAATGTAGAAGTGATAAAGGAGGTGAGAACTTACAGTAACTTGAATCAAGGTGGAAGCAGTGGTTGATGAAAAATGTTCCCAATCTCAATAGGTCGATGACAAATAAAATTCAGGTTGATTTTCTGTAAGGTAAGAAGGAAACAGAAAGTCATGGATAGAAACCTGGATAAGATAAAGTCATCTTATTGTTGTGTAATATTAGTTTAAGATGTGTTCCATTTGTTTATGCTGTGGAATATTTGTTTAATGATGCAAAGAGGTGTTGCATTCTTTTATACTGTATTTGTTTAACTCTGAAAAGTTGTGTTACTTTGCCTGTCTAAAACACCTGATTGGTCTAATGAAGAGCTGAATGGCCCATAGCTAGGGAGGAGAGAGAAATAGGTAGGGCTGCCAAGCAGAGAATAAATAGGAGAAGAAGAGGGAAGAGCAAGAAAAGGAGGGGATGAGGACTCCAAAAGCCAGCTACCCAGCCACCCAGCTGGCCACGGAGAAGGAAGAGGAGAAAGACACATAGAATAACGAAAGGTAAAAAGCCCAGAGGACAAACATAGTTAAAGAAAAATAGAATAATTTAAGTTAGAAAATCTGGCTAGAAATAAGCCAAGCTAAGTCCTGGCATTCATAAGTAAGAAAAGTCTTCATGTATTAATTTGGGAGCTGGCTGGTGAGCTCCCAAAAGAGTAAAACAAAAACAAAAACAAAACAATATCTTATATTTTTATTGTGAGCAGAACAACTTTGAGGAGGATAATAAAGATATTAGCTCTGGACATATTAAATGAAGGTGTTTATGAAATATCCAGAATGTAGCATTTAGTGTCAATGTCTGGTCTAGCTATATAGATTTTGAAGTCATCACAATAGATTAGGTTACTAAGGGAGAATAGGGAGAACAAAAGTTAAAATTCTGAGTCTTCAAACATTCAAATATTTAGAAGTCAAGGGTCTGAAGAGGAGCCAGAGAAGAAGACCAAGAAGACACCACTGAGGTCGAAGAACATCAACAATGTCGAGTCCTTGAGGTCAATGAAGAAAGTGAATCAGTGCAGAATATGTGATTGCCTCTAAAGAATGCTGCTAAGATCTTACATTGTAAGTTGGATTCAACCAACTACTAATCACTATTCATCTTGACAAGAGCAGTTTTATTAGAGCTGGGCAGAAATGTGAAAACCCGATACAAGAGGGAATAGAAGAAAGAATTGGAGACAGGAAACACAAGCCATTCTTTCAGAGAATTATAGTCTAAAAAGTATTCAAAGGGAACAGTAAATTGAGAGAAATGTGGGTATGAAGTTTTTCTGTTAAATAGGAAAAGTTATACTATGCCCAGTGTCCATGGAATGTTCCAGTACAAGAGAAGAGTGAAGAAGAGTGGAGAGAATTTCCACTGAGATGTCCTTGAGTTGGGACAGTCACTAAAGTTTGTGAGTATGTAAAGAGCTGCTGTGGGTTTCTACTACACCAGGTACCAATGGTTGACAGAAAGGAGTTAGTAATGAGGGCTAAGATGTGGATAGACATAGGTTATGAAAGCTCTCTGGTCTCTTTTAGAGAAATAGAAACCAAGTTTGTCAGCTAAGAATAAGAAATGAAAAGGAATTGCTAGAGAATAAGTTATAAGGTTAACTTACCTTACGACTTTTATTTCTGTATTTGATAGTGAGTGCATAATAGAAAACCATACCAAACTTAGTGTTTCTCTGTCTACAACAGCATCAGTCAAAACTTGTTTTTCTCATACTCCAAGCAGTTCTCCAGTGGACACCTATGAAGTGTCCTGCACACTGATTCAATCCTGGTACTATTTGCTTAAAGTTAGAGTCAGAGTCCACAACTTAGGGCCTCAGTGACATAGCACATCATCTCACTTTACAGATGCCAGTCATTAACCTGGGGCTTTTCAATTAACAGAGTGGCTGGAAATTGGAGGAACCCACAATCCTTGTGGATTATACCAACTGGTTCAGGTTCTGCCATTTGCTGAAATGGTTTTAAAAACACAAAGGATCTTTATTTATTTTAGCAGTTTATTATAAAAGACATTCCAAAAGATACAAATGAAAGGCAAATATGGAAGCGATACATTGGGCAAAACAGGGATGGAGTTGGGAGTGGTATGCAGTTTGCAAACTCTCAAGAGAATGACCTCTATGCTCCTCTACCTGTTCAGCACCCAGGAAGCTCTCTAAACTATGTAATTTTTACCTTTTTAGCTTACTTTACAGAGGCTTCATAATGTAGACATGATTGGTGAAATCATTGACCATTGATGAGCAACTCAACTTTTAGTCCCTGTCTGCCTCCAGGGTCACAGGACTGAAAACATCAATGTTTTAATGACATGGCTAGTTCTGTTGGTATCATGCCCCCATTCTGAGGCTGTCCAGAAGCCCTCACTGTCAGTCATTTCATTAGCACACAAGAAGTCACATTATCCCTTTGGAGATTTCTAAGTTTTTTAAAAGATGTATGCCAGGAATGAAGCAAAGAACAAGATGTGTTTTTCTTATAAATCACAAATCTCACAGACACTAATTATTTTATGGCATAGAATATACCATGGAAAATAAGTGTGATGATCTTCCTGTTTAGTCAGATGCATTTTGGACTCTTCCCCACTGGGAAGCATATGCAGCTGACATATTGTGTTGCCTTTCACTGCGTGCCATTGGCTTCTTATAGGACCCAAGTGTGAAGCCTATGAGTTTGATTGCATCACAGGAGGGCACCAAAAGCTACTGCTGCAAAATACTCTTAGGGCAAAGGGCCTCTGGGGTCTGGGCATGGGAACTGTATAGCATTTGCCTGGTTCTTGCTCTTTAAAAAAATGAGGTGGTTTTTTTTTTTTTTGGTCCATTTTGAATTGGGTATTTCCTATTTAAAAGTCCTGTGGATTTCACGATGGTGAGTGTGAAGCACAGCTTAAACAGAGATGTAAAAGGCTGCATAGAAAAGGGAAAACTGAGAACACAAATGTATTTCAAGGAGACGCTGCTGGGAGCAGCTGTTACTGCATTTTAAAGAGCCACTTATTTTAATTGAGGGGGCAATAGGATAATAATACTGTGCAATAATGATGTGTCGTCGTATAAGGCACTTGGAGACCTCCCCATGCATGATGCAATGTGGTCCCACATGGCTCCCAAACTGAGCCAGGTGGATCTGCCTCCGTTTTGCTAAGTGAATGGAAATAGCTCATGGATTTAGCATGCTTTGCTCAAGAATATTTTGAGAGATACCTGCCTCTAGACTTCAGAAATAGCCATGGAAATGACTGACCATGTAGGTATAAAGGCTGTTGGGTGATCCTTCACTTCAGAGGGCAGAAGTAGTCAGGAGAGCACTCAGCTACGCATGCAAATCTGTTTCTA